TATTTATAATTTATAAAATATCTTATTCTATTTTTAAAGTAATTTATATAAAAAAAAAAAGATACTACCTAACTTTTGATCCCATTTCACAGGTTTACAATATATAGCATGGAGATTTTTACTTTCTCTGTATCCACTAAATACCAGACATCCACCGAAAAGCGACAGTTGATACAAATAAGTAAATATAAAACTGACTGCTGTATATGTAAATATTACTTTAGCTATTCGATACGGAATTGTAAATCCGATTAACGATGCAGCGATATTAGTCAGTGTGGTTATTGTAATCGAAGTGGCAGATTCAGAATACGCATCACCTATTCGCTTCTTCATACGATCTTCTGGATTAGTTTTTCTCCAAGCTGATAGTATGACGAACGAATCGTCCAAACCTATTCCTATAAAAGAAATACATAATATTCAGAGAATTGTTATGGAATGTGTAATTTTTTCAATAGAAACGATAGCGTAATAAACAGACCTAAAACAAGTAAGGGAACTGCTACGTTAAAATCAATATACTCCATACCAAACAGTAGCAGAATACCAAAAGCAGCTACAGTACCAAGAATCGATGCTAAGTACGCAGCAATACCAATCCAAGGCTTACTTGTTACGCAGCTTCTAGTCATGCAAGTGAAAACGGAGAAAGAACGTCACAATAGATACAATACTGAAACAAACACAAACTGCGCAATGCAAATTTGGAATAAATATAAGAAACACGATTATAACTGTTACACTACTCACNGTAATCGAAGTGGCAGATTCAGAATACGCATCACCTATTCGCTTCTTCATACGATCTTCTGGATTAGTTTTTCTCCAAGCTGATAGTATGACGAACGAATCGTCCAAACCTATTCCTATAAAAGAAATACATAATATTCAGAGAATTGTTATGGAATGTGTAATTTTTTCAATAGAAACGATAGCGTAATAAACAGACCTAAAACAAGTAAGGGAACTGCTACGTTAAAATCAATATACTCCATACCAAACAGTAGCAGAATACCAAAAGCAGCTACAGTACCAAGAATCGATGCTAAGTACGCAGCAATACCAATCCAAGGCTTACTTGTTACGCAGCTTCTAGTCATGCAAGTGAAAACGGAGAAAGAACACATAAAAATTTGCGATATGATAAAGATTGGAATATTATATATTGTTAATTTATTAAATTCTTCTTCATTAGTTTTTCCTGTAAACACGGAGAATTTAACATATTCCAGTTTTACTTCATTTAATAATTTCAGAAAATTTTCTTCCCACAACGTAGAAATTTCATTCGTGTGATTGCCGTTGTCAATGAAATATATCAAACGAATTGCTTTGAA